TTACCAAATATCAGATGGGACGACGGGAGGGTTTAAAATTGAACTTCTTAAATCAGATTAAGTTAACTTTCGTTTATGTTTGAAATTATTGGGTTGATTTTTGTTTATATTTTTCAACGAAATAAACGCCAGAACTTAAAAGGCCGTGACACTGGTACTCATTTCTTGTCGTCTCACTGCCCTCGTTCTTTTCGCCTCCGTGCTACCCTGGTTCATCTTCGCTCACTTCATCTGCACTTGGCTAGGTTTATTCTTCTTTGCTTGCACAGCCAAGACGAACTTCATGGAAAGTCCTTGTGGAGAATGGCTTCATCGAGCCACTGTTGGCCTCATTTGGTATTTCGACTGGTTTAATGTTTCCGAGGTGAAGATACAGTACAGGGCCGCGCCGTTTCACTGGTTTATACTGAGTGATATTTGCATCCTCTGTGGTGCTGGAAGATGAGCACACATCCTCCTGATTTTGTGATAGAGCCCATGTACACTTTATTCACAGCTGCCTGTGTTGTTGCAGTTTATGTCCTATATGCTTAAAGTTATTTATTATAAAGTCTTTCATCCAAATATGAGCTGAAAGGGGCCAACAGAGAGCAGCAACCTGAAGATGAGGTGGGATTTCGGCTATTTCACTGGATCATCTTTTCAAAAGAAAAATAGAAAAAATAGAAGAAAATAAATATGCAATCCTTCTGCATTAGATTACTTGTAAAAATGCCTCTGAGTTCATCAGGCTAACATTTAGCAGCTGTATGATATGAAATAACGAAAGATGCAATAAATTGTTTATGCCATAAACCGTCTGTGTATCTTTTTATAGCTGGAAAACATTTCACTTACCAAAGCTGGACACTTGGTGGGTGCACAGAAAAGTGAGTAGGAAAACCAGAAGAATAAAATGGAAAAACATTGTCCCAGATAGATTTTTGGAAATCAAAAGTGTGAAAATGATCAAACATGAAGTCCAAACGTGGATGGAAAGGGAATGAGCTCTGAGTTCCCAGTTTTGCTTTTCTGTTGCAGAGAGCAATGGTGACAGTCGAGGCTGTGTTTTGTTTGTTTTCTTTCTCCCTCAGCACTGCATCCACTCGTTTTGTTATAACAGCCATGCCTTCAGTGAAAGTGGGTGTTGTAAAATCACCAAACAAGAGGCATGACAGAAGCAGGTCAGGTCTGCTTCCTGGGGAGGTTCTCGTGTATCCCTCTGCAGAATATTCTTTCAACTGACCTTACATAATGTGAGTAAGTATGGAGCGTTGCACTTTTTTAACAGAGCATTAAAGGAAAAGTAAGGACAAGAGTTTTGTAAGTCAGCCCTTGCCCTTGGTTATAGTCTGTTCAGATGCTGACACTAGTAGAATAGAAAGACCCTCACATAATAATAATAATAAGAATAATAATGATGATAACAATAAATGTTATTCATAAAGCGCCTTTCAAGACACCCAAGGACACTTTACAATAGGATAAAACATATAATGGAAAAATGACAAAATGAAGAACAATAAAACAAAAACACAAGATAAAATTAACAAACAGTGAATATGCAGATTTGCAGACGTATCACTTATATCTCATCTTTTAAGCTTCATTAAAATCCATTTTCCCTCTGACATACAAAGCATTTATAAAAGTTATCTGACTGTTAAAAAAGTAAATCTTAAAATTAGACATACACAGCATGCGCTCAGCTGGATGTGTAGAGACAGAGCCGTATGTTCTGGAAACTCTGACTAGAGAGTCAGTTTGGGAGATGAATCCCGAACCACTTAGGCCCGGGTCTGCTGACACCAAAGATCAGAATAATGAAGATTTCTGGTCATTTCCAAGGTTCACCTGAGGTGAATTGCTCAGACTGAGCACCCTTCACTGGAACGAGAAGCTACAGGTCCTGTTATCTTGGACATCATAAACACCACCTCTCCCTCTGTCCAGTATTCACATTTAAAACTATCAGAGCTTTTCACAAAGCTGAAGCAAATGTTTCTAGACCAGGAAAGCTTTCACTTGGGTGGTCTCAGAATTTCACTTTAGCTTTTCACAGATTATGTTGTTCTATTGGCTTCATCAGGTGACGGCCTCCAGCTCACACTGGAGTGGTTTGCAGCCAAGTGCGAAGCGCTGGGAATGAGAACCTCCAATGCAACTGGAAAAAGGTGGAGTGCCACTCCAGGTCAGGGACGAGTACCTGCCCCAAGTGGAGAAGTTTTTTTGAATATCATGGATGTGTTCACGAGTGATGGGAGAAGGGATTTCACATCGAAAGGAGCCAGTTGAGGTGATTCAGGCATCTGACAAGACGCCTCCTGGGAGAGGAGTTCTGGGCATGTCCCCCCAGGAGGAGGCTGGAGGATGGAGCTCTGAGGGAAAGCGGTGAGACAAAGGTTACACAAATGAGAGTCTGACAGGCAGGATGACAGAAGAGCAATGAGATTTAAAGTATATGGAACGGGAGCTGACAGGGGCAAGGAAAAACCTTTTAACAGGAAGAAACCTCCAGCAGAACCAGGCTCAGGAGCCAGTAGGGTTTGGGGAGAGGGAGACAAGACAAATAACATGCTGTGGAAGAGACTCAGAGATTAACAATGACTCATAATCAAATGCAGAGAGGTGTAGAAACACATAGTGAGAGTAAAATGGATGAGAGAAGGAAAATCATTCAATGCATCATGGGAATCCCCCATCAGCCTAGACCTCATGCAGCATAACTAAGGGTCACCTGATCTAGTCCTAACTATATGAAACTTTTACGCCTAATCTTAAAAAGTAGAGATGGTGTCTCTCTCCCAAATCTGGTTCCACAGAAGAGGGGCGTGAAAGCTGAATGCTCTGCCTCCCATTTTACTTATAAATACTCGAGGAACCAGAAGTAAGTCTGAGAGCAAGTGCTGTAATGGGGTAATACAGTTCTATAAGGTTTTTAAGAAAAGATGGGGCCTGATTATTTGATGAGAAGGACTCTTACTGAAGAATTTTGGATCAACTGAAGACTTTTCAGCTGTTTTTAGGACAACTTGATAATAATGAAACTAGTTTTTCAGCCTCACTCTGCTACAGCAGCGGTCCCCAACCTTTTTTGCACCACGGACCGGTTTATGCCCGACAATATTTTCATGGACCGGCCTTTAAGGTGTCGCGGATAAATACAACAAAATAAAAC